CTTTTCAGTGTTACTCATCTGAGTGGTTGCTGTAGCTACAGCATAACCCTGAGAATTGAAAGAGAGGGAATCGTGTATTCTACCACGTTCCCTGGCCCTTATGAAATATTTCATGATCATTTGTATACCCTAAAGTAGGTGTTAGCTTTAAAGATCTATGAATGTGTACACAGAAGTGTTTTTCCTAATCCCAAATAGAGATTATCAACCTTAGATTTCAGGATTTGTCTTGTTTAAATGCATTAATATGCCCTCAGATAACTTGTTATCCAAATTAATGTTTAATTCTTACTTGAATCTTGGGTTTTTACAGGAAGTTATGTCATGTATGAGAAGATAGTCCATAAAATAAGCCTCATTAGTATTTTGGAAGTTCAGATTTAAGGTCATTTATTTATATAGGTGCTGGCTGTTGTAAACCATACATGACACTAGGGTAAGCTTGCTTATGGATTCAGTTTACTGGAGAATCAACAAGGTCAGAGCTGCTCTATCTCTAATATTTGGAATGAGTCAGGTTTGACATTTCAAGTTGAAAAAGAGCTCAGAATTTAGAACCAAGTTAAGAATATACTGGATGGATGATTTTGGGAAGGACAAATTAGATTTCTAAATTGACATACAGTGCTAAAACTAGGAACAGCTTGCCTGGATTCAGAGAAGTGACTAATACAGAAAAAAATGAACTTATTTGGGAGGAAGGAATCAGTGTAGGGAAAACACTGTAAGTATCCTGTGCAGAAAACAAGGTATTGAGTGGTTGGCAATAAATATATTACTAGTACCAAAACACCATGAAAATAAATCAGGTAATAAATTAATCAGGAGCGAAGACATGAAACAAGGAGAAATACTGATTTTAGATCTCACCCCTCCCAAACTCTGTTCCTGTCTGTTGAATGGGTTGTCACATCGCAGACAGGTTTTTTCTCGATTGCCATGGAGATGGTTACAAGAACTTTCCCTGTAATTCCAATTTTGCTGGGTTAATATTTCTTTTCCATGCTTCCATAAAAAGAAAGGATTATCTAAATGCTAAGGCCACAAAGATGATCAGAGGGCTGGAGCACGTCTCCTATGAAGAAAGGTTGAGGGAACTGGGCTTGTTTAGCTTGGAGAAGAGAAGGCTCCGGGGAGACCTCGTTGCGGCCTTCCAGTACTTGAAGGGAGCCTGTAAACAGGAGGGGGAGTGACTGTTTACAGGGGTTGATAGTGACAGGATGAGGGGGAATGGTTTTAAACTAAGAGAGGGGAGAATGAGGTTGGATATTAGGTGGAAATTTTTCACTGTGAGGGTGGTGAGGCACTGGAACAGGTTGCCCAGAGAAGCTGTGGATGCCCCATCCCTGGAGGCATTCAAGATGAGGCTGGATGGGGCCCTGGGCAGTGGCTGTAGTTGTTGGCAACCCTGCCCACAGCAGGGGGGTTGAAACTAGATGATCTTTAAGGTCCTTTTCACCCCAGGCCATTCCATGATTAAATATTTTTATGTAGGATGATCTTTTGTATTGTTCCTGTTACACTTAATGTTGTGAACTAGGACTGAGGGCCTTTCCTGCAGTTCCAGAGAGAAGCTGTAGTAGAACAAGGAAATGCTCCCTGCCTGTCAGAGCTTAGGCCAATGCACAAGGGTGATAATTTTTGACTTGCTCCTTCTTGTAATGGTTATGTACGCTGCATTTTTATCTAAGAACTGTGAAAATTATTTATATGTGTGTTTTTTAGAATACTAGAAAGCCTGCACTTTGTATTGTTAGTCTTCAGGTGAAAATTGTTCTTTTCCTTATACTTTACATGCTTTAATTATATGTCAAAAGGTTTTCTCAGCCTTAGGGAAGGATGGTCTCTGCTTTTAACAGCTGTTAAAATATCTATGAACAAAGAATTTTGATATATAATTCTTCAGCAAATCTGTACAGTGATCTAAAATAATGTCCCTGTTAGGGTAAGGTGAAAGGTACTTGTAACATCCTCACCTTTTTAATTGCAAATTATATTTCTATACCTGAACTTGTGTCGTTAGGTCCAAAATTTTATGTTGTCAGAGCTTTCAGATTCCCCATTTCAGTACTGCACTGTTTGTTTTGGAATATTCAAAAAACTTTTAGCCTCAAGACTTAGCCAAGTAGTACACAAGTAATTATGTTATTTTAAATGTCATTTGCTGACTGGTTGCAACTTGCATATGCAGTGCAAGGGGTAATGGCAGACCCTGTGCCAGAGGGAATACAGAAGTTGTCCCTTCCCAGAATATACTAGGAATGAAAATTATGGTAATGGACGAGAGGGAGATTGCCCTCCCTTTCCTCTGCCCTGTAAAGCTGATTATTGCCAGTGGTGCTGGAGAGAAGGGAAGGAATCGCACTGGAAACAGAATCTCTCCTGGGACTTCTGAGATTGAAAAAGATTTTCCTTCTATTTCTGAAACATCAATAGGCTGATTATTGAGATGAGCAGTGCTTGTGCTGAAGGATGGAGGAAGGAGAACAGCTTTATCTGAGCTGCCAGTACAGGAAAATGCAGAATCTGTATTTATTGCCAGGTTCCAGAAGGATTCTATCAAAGTCACGGAAGCATAGAGATGAATGCCTGTTGTGCTCAATGGCACATCCCACTCTGATTACTCCTGAGGGTAGAGCACTAGGCCTACTCTCTAACTGAGTTCTGCATCGTTCTGACCCTTGCACCTACGTACCCACTCTAAGAGTATTTTTGTTCAGCTAAGAACTTGAACTCTGCTCCCTGCTATTCTTGGAGCAAAGGGTTTTCTTCATCCAGGCACCATCAAAGACAGGAAATGTAACAAGGAAAAGTTGTTGCCAGTAGCAAGGACCTAGATGCAGCTAGTGAAGACAGGTTGCTGGAAGTGAGGACCTCCTTTCCTATAAGTGAATGAGCAGTTCTCCCATTTGCTAACACCAGCTTCCCTACCAACCAAAAAGAAGAAACTATTCCTAGGTCAGCAGATGCAGAGACTGTTCAGTGCTGGAGAGCTGAGCTTGCTGGAACACTTTTTCTCTTTGTGTTCTGCAAGAGGTTGACCACTGTATGTCACAGATGTGTTCCTTCTGCTTTTTCTTGGAGTTTGGAAAGCTGCAATGACTTTACTGAAATTTATTGGGATTTGGCAAAAAACAAGCAGTTAAATGCAGAATCTGACTGTGTTCAGGTTGCCTAGTCCTTGAGGTTTCTTTGTTCCAGAGGAAAGAAGGGAGTTACTGTGACTCACAGTAAAAATCTTCAGAGATTAAGTTCTCAGCTTTATGAATCATATTTCAATTGGGTTTTTTGTTTGGTTGGTTTTTTTTTCATGAGAGCTGTAGGGGTCATTGGGCTGAATTCTTATCATTGTCATAATTTTTATGAACTTGAATTCAAGGTTGAATTACATTTCATATGTTTTTAATTATAGATTAAGGAATTCTACTTGAGTATGCTGAAAATTTGCTCGCATCAAAGTAGAGAGAGGATATTTGTTAGCTGAGATGTTGAATGGCTACCTGAAAATTCTGTTAGGATCTGAAGCCGGTCTGAAGTAACAGATGATGACTATTTCTGTGACAAACTGAATTTTGCTTTTGACGTGCTTGCCACCACAGTTATTCTTGTTATTTCTGACACATTATTTGTAAGGAGCACTTTCCTCTTCTGTGTGTCACAGTTTAGCCCAAAGTCATCTGTGTAGATCTAGAAATAACTAAGTAAGGTCATTAATTGCATTATTCCTGTTGACAACTGTACTTATGAGCCATAGCCCATAGTTTTTGTTGTGTTTTTTTTTTAACCAGTGCTATTGTAATGTATGAAAAGGTTTATAGTTTCCTGTTAGGTAAAAAGTTTAGAAAAGCCTAGGCAATGAATCAGATTTGATGGCATTATTTCTTGTTTTTGTGTAGAATTAGGACTTCAGTTTGCTGGTCTTCACTCCTGTTTATCAAAGTATGATGTACCTATCAATAAGCTTTATTGCTTTTCATATAGAAGAGTGGAAGAGTCTTGCTTTTAAGTCCCACAGTGAATCAAAGTTGTAGTGCAGTGGTCAGTATTTGACCCTTCTGCTCTACTCTTTTTGATCATACATGTGCTACATGCTGTAAAGCTTCAGTATCGTAGGTTTAGAGAGATAACCACTTAAGGCTTGTCTTTGGCTATTAAGTCTCACTACCATAGTTGTCATAAGTAAATTAAAGGTTATTTTTTGCTATACAGTTAAATATGCATCTTAAAGGGGATATTTTACATTCAAAATCTATGTTTTTCTCTCTTTATTTGTGATTTTAAAAAAATTTTTGCTAATGATAGTGTGAGTGACCTATAGAAATGAGAATTTTATTCATTTTGATGTAATGAATGTGAAACAGTCCATGCTTAATGTTAAAATATCAGTGGTGATACTTTGTTCAAGCATGAGGAATAAAGCTAAAGCTGGACTTGATAAACTTAGCTGGCAAAATATGAATCAAACCCTGTTAAGTACCTCCTGGCAAACCAATCCTCTAATGTGAACAGGAGCTCTGTTGTGATTTTTCTTTTTTCTTTTTTTTTTTTTTTTTTTCCCCTCCTCCGCTGCCATGGTACAAAATGTAGAGCTCAACCCTGTGAAATGCTGAGCGTCAGTGAAAGCCATATGGGAACTGAAATGTTCAGCATCTCCCAGGATTAGGCCTTGACTTTGGTCCGTGTCTTGTGCATTATGCGATCCGTTGTTCTTGAACTTACAGATTTCTTTTTCTTCCCCTTCATCCTGAAAACTAGGTTATGTTATATTAATTCCAAGTCCTGGTTATAGAAGTGTGTCTTTTAATGCAAATACAGTAAAGCAAGCCATAAGGCATACTTCCCTTATAAGAAGATTAATGTACAGAACTTGATTCACTTATGTTGTCTTTTGTGCTGGTTTGGTCTTGTTTCCTTAAGATGAGATAGTCGTCTCTGTAATATTAGTATATTTTACTTGCTGCAATCTGATGTACCATTTCTCTTCCCTTTTTTTTTTCTCCTTACCTAAGATTATCGTTGGAGAAACTGCAGTGTTTTGTCTACAGTTAGCTACAAAGGATTTTGAAAACCAAGAAAAAACAATATTAACTGGAGACTGTTGTTATATAAATCCACTGGTGCGCAGGACCATCAGATTCCTTGGTATGAGCAAAATTAATGCTTTCTTCTGAATGGTGAGAGTGATCAATTATGTCTTAATTTTGACCTGGGAAAAATATTCAGATAACCATACAACATTTCATGTGTAGTATTAACTCAGGTGCAGTGAGTTGTCTCCTTTTGGGTAGCAAATGAAGCTGCTTAGAAGTTAGGACAAAAAAATAGTTGCAGAAACAGCAGTAAAAGTAGAAAGAATTGGGACCACAAGGGGGAAAAACAACCAGCAGGCCTGGAGTAGGGTGAAGGCAGATACCCTTGTGCCATATCTGTAACTGATGCTTTTCTTTTAGTTATGCATACACATAGCAGCCAAAGTTGAAGACATTGGGATATAAAAGTGTTTGAAGCCAAGCCCAATTTAGGTGCTTTCTTAGCCTGCGATTGTATTGTAGTCTTTAGTAGAAAACTGTACAAAATACATGCTCCACTGAAGTCAGCTGTAACTCCCCTATCAACTTTAGTAGATACGAGATGTCATCCTTTCCACTTAGTTCATTGTGAATGTGTTTGGAGGGAGAAGTACCACCACACAAAATGTCTATTTAATATTCCCAGATGCTGTTTTTTAATATGAGCAGGGATGCCATAGCAGGGCTCAGTTCTATTGTTTGCCTCTCACTCTTGGTTGTATCTAAGAGAAACAGCTGGAGCAACGAAGCCTTAGGGCAGCTAATCCTCCTGTGTGCCCAGCCACAAGGGGAGGGAGGGGATGTGCAGCTGTGTCTGTATTTGTAATGTTTGTGTAACAGCCGTGCCTGCCTTCTCAGAGCACGATTGCTAGCTGTCACGCTGGAGTGTTAAAAGTCATTAAGAATGAGACTGTCTTGCGTAGGTCCAGAGGAGGTGTGGAGTGATGATGAGGAGCTCCTCCTGCTCCAGTTGCTCTGTGTGTAAACGGTGCCCATGTTTCCTTCACACTTGCTGCACCCTCCTTGCTTGCAGAAGCAAAAAGAAATTGGGAGGGAAGGGAGGAACAATGGCCTCTGCACTCTTCTATCAGATAGAGGCATCGCTACCCGTTCTGCTCACACAAAGTGATGTGGCCGCCTAAGCTGGGGCAGTGCACACCCTTGGGGCTTGCTGAAAGGGCCTTTCTGTGCAGCCACTCGACCAGGCACGATCCGCTGCTCACCAGTGTCTAGCAGCTCAGGCTGAACTAACGTTAGCGTGACATTGCTGACCAGCCAGGATCCTGGAAATCATCCTTGGTCCTCTAGCTTTGCTGAGGAAAAAACCTGACCTTTAGAAATGCACGTGTTTCTGTGGCATCATGTCTGCTCTGGTGTACACCCATTAAAGTCCTCATGGTGCCCCATGAAGTTGGGAACTGCCAGAACTCATGCTATATTCACAGTGAATTGAAGTATGGGAAAAGTAAGGTGATTTGCCCATGGAAATACAGGAGGAAATCTGTAGCTCAGGTGGAATTTGAACACACTCCTGCTGGCTTTGCCTCCCAGTCAAGGTGCTGCACTTGCATTTCCTTCCAGAGCTCATTTTCTGCTTTCAAAAGGGTAGAAAGGGGCCTCAGCAGAAATCTGTTTTAAGTAATCAGATATATGCATTTCCATTCTAATGAACAAGTACATGTGCTTGATGCTTTGCTGATATGTCTGATGAAAAAAAAAAAAAACTCTAGCATAAGTAGCTCCTCAAATATATAGATCTTTAGCTCACTGTGTTGATATTGTGATTAATATGCCATGCATAGAGATATACCCAGTAGCAGGCAGATGAAGACAACTTGTGCATGGCAATATTGAATTATTCAGTGCTTCAGCTCGTTTACAGCTGCAAGGGAAAAGAAAATGTCCAGTATGTGTTACGGCTTTTCAAGTTACTACTCCATCAGGGCTTGACTTCCTTGGTTCTCAGGCAGTTTTATAGGGTGAAGAATTTGCCTCTATCGCTTCTATTTAGTGAACATGGGCAAAAGTTAGGTACCAGTATAGCTAGCTACCCCAAACAGTGGAGATTGCTGTCTAGGGGGCCTAGGAAAGTGGGCTAGTTGCACAAAAGTGACCCTCCAAAGGATGGAGAGGGATCAGGTGTGTGGGAATGTTTCAGTGTTACTGGTGCAGTTGTGTAGGAAAACTACCATCTCCAATGTGAGCCGGGATCTCTAGGGTACAATACGTGTGAGGGTTTTTCATGTTCTTAAATAGAAGGATCTGGTACATTACTATGATAAATACTATAATATGTTGCCCTGGAGTGAAATTGTCAGGAAATTTAACTCTTTGTTTCCCTCTTTAGGAATTTACGCATTTGGACTGTTTGCTACGGACATCTTTGTAAATGCCGGACAAGTAGTAACAGGGAATCTTGCACCACATTTTCTTGCACTTTGTAAACCCAACTATACAGCACTTGGATGTAAACAGTATACACAATTCATCAGTAGCGTACATGCCTGTACTGGAAATCCAGACCTTATCATGAAAGCCAGAAAGACATTCCCATCCAAAGAAGCAGCTCTAAGCATATATGCAGCTATGTATCTGGCTGTAAGTATATTGTACTATTTAATGTCACTATTTTTGAGAGCAAATGGCTCACACTGTGAGGGGAGGAGGGAGGAATGGGAAAACGATAAAGTAACTGTTGTCTGATTTTATACATGTAAACCTTCTGTGAGTTACTGTGAGGCCTTTGAGAATTTGATTCATTGGACTTAATTCTGGCATTTACAGATGTCGTGGTTCTTTGAGCCTTGAAAGCTAAGGCAATGCTGAGAGAGGACAAGTTGTCCAAAAAGGGTTATAGATTTCGGATAACCAGGTTCTTGGTTTACTTTTTCCCATTCCCAGAGAATATGGGAGGAGGCTTTGGGATTGCCGGCGACTGGTAGTGGTTCCTTTCCATGTTTTAACTCAGTACAGATTAGTAAAATTGGACATGGACTTATTCTTTGGTGGGGTGAAGCAGAAGAGCGGGCATATGTAGGATGGGACCAGGGCTGCCCTCATAGCGTCAGAGGGAAACGAGGTGCGCGTGTGTCATTGCAGGAGTCATCCCTTAAATTCCCTCAGTATCTGATGAGTGGACTGCCTGTACATGTGCGTTTAAGTATGTGTGCATGTATATGCATGTGTGTATACATATATATGTGTGAGTGTGTATTGCTTTTGAGCGTATATTTAATGAGCAGACTTGGAATTCCTGGTTTATCTGGAAACTGGTACTTGCCGACATGGCAAAGATCCCAACCCCGTCCACAGACAGTGTGACAACTCCATGCTTCTGAATATGGTTTTAGAACCAGTTGCTTAAAATCTGTGGCACTGACGGTGACATTTACCAAAAGTTCCTTGTGAGCAATGTCTGTTTAAGTGATGTGGATCATCAGTTAGTACAGGCAAGTGTTATCTGCAACTAAGAGATGAGGAATAAAATTATATTCTAACTTGAGGCAAGTGTAAGACTGCTAATAGTATTGTCTTTATTTGGGGAGATATCTAAGGCTTTGCTTCACTGAAACATACCTCTAAATTTGGCACAAGCTATTTTAGAAAATATTCAGCGTTCTTCATTTTAATTGCTCCTATTTTTCTCATCCATCTGTAAAGCTGGATTTCCACTCTTGCCATGAGTCACACTAAAGAAAACCAACTGTTCAGCTGCTGCAAAGCGGGAAGGAAAATAGTATTAATAAATTTTAGAAACAAAAAAATAGGCATTAGTAAGGTCTAATAGCTAGTATCAATGGCTTTTGACATGAGCAGGAGTACTTTATACAAACCTTATGTTGTTTGTGGTCAATATACAGTTAGCAACATCAAAAATTAAAACGGCTGTGATCTGTTTCATGACTTTATAATCTTTCAGTAACTGCAGAAATGAATATATCCTATGTCATTACTGTATCACTGCACGATGCACGACACTGTCGTCATTTAACTAAAGCACTACGAACTGCTCTCAGGATTTCTGAGTTCCTATAGGCTGCCTAATAAAGTGAATTGCTATGATGCATCAGCTGAGTTGTAGCCTGCAAATTTAGGTCCTTGATGCAATGTTGTCAGTCTTTTTTTTTTTTTTTTCTTAATTCTGTTGCATGATTGCAGCTAAAAATACTGTTTATTACACACCAGGGAAAGAAATGCAGTGTTCCAATATCTGAGGTCATGTCCTCACACTGTCATGATGTTTATCAGAATAGCTGGCCTTGAATAACAACTTTCTCATCACTATTCACTGGAGTAGAAGATTTAAACAGTAGCCTAGTCTTTGTATGTTGTGGTACAACAGTTATTGAGAACGTGCTCATAAAGAACTCCATATATTACTCAGCTAGTATTTCATGAGCATATAATCTCTGCTACAAAATGTGCCTTCTCTTTGGTTGACAGAAATATTTGGGAGAGAGGGAGGGTTTGTTACAGAATCCTCCCCGGACATTTCAGCCAGCTGTGTGTGAAATGAAACAGTCTTAAAGATGTAAACAGGCAACAAGGTGATCCAGTGTCCTTGCTCTCTAAGGGGGCGAAGTAAACAATGTCAGACTTATGTGATTTCACTGATCAACCCATTTAAAAACAAAACCTATGCTTTATCTAATAATTCCCCTATCTCCTTCCATTGAAGTGCAGCCATGTCCTTATCACCTAGCATCTGTGCATATTGTCTTGTTAACAATAGCTTCTTTTTTTAGTTTAAATTCTTGAGTCTTCCTTTTTTCCCACTCCCCTCTTTTGAGAGTGGGTGGCTGCTATGGCAACTCGAATTCCCCTCCTGCTGA